AGGTGAGGCTTACCAATTAACCATATCCCTAATTAATGGAGTTAACTTTCACAACAGAAGTGTGCTTTAAATGCCACATGCCTAAAGTCTCTTCAACAGTAGTTTAACGAAATAATAGCAACTTTATCCAAGCACCTTGGAGAGAGTCTATTAATCTCACTCATTATATTAAGTTTGCTTAGTTTCTATCGATACTACTATTTGGAGGCTTACCAATTAACCATATCCCTAATTAATGGAGTTAACTTTCACAACAGAAGTGTGCTTTAAATGCCACATGCCTAAAGTCTCTTCAACAGTAGTTTAACGAAATAATAGCAACTTTATCCAAGCACCTTGGAGAGAGTCTATTAATCTCACTCATTATATTAAGTTTGCTTAGTTTCTATCGATACTACTATTTGTATTATAAATTACCTTCTAGAACTTTCTGAATATAGTACTTGATTAGATATGCCATATTAATTTAAGTGTTTCTGGAAATGTACTTCATCCTTGTGCACAGTAAAGCTAAAAGATGCAAAATCCAAATACAACTAATTTGAAACAAGTTCATTCTTCTTCCATGAATTTATATTAGCAATACAAAAATGTAAAAGCACGCAATTCAAAATCTAACCCCAATAAATAAAAGACCATAGAAAGCAAACCTCAAATATTGATGTTCCTGTGAATCGGCTTAGAGCAGCAAATTCAAGTATCAAGGTACCTGCACAAGCTGTACAGGTATCAGTCTCTGTTCCTGTTCGAGCTTCTGGACTTCTTAAACCAAATTTTAAATTCACCTAAAAGAAAGTAGAGTTTGTATCTTTTACTAGCTGCAAATATATACACAAATCGACAATGGGAGAGATTAAAAATTAGGAACTGTATTCTCAGTTCTTTATTTGTTCTAATTAAAAACCAAAACATTAATCTTGTCTCACCTGATATCACAACCATTCTTTTAACTTTACTGGTGCAAAAAGGTATGTTGGATAAAATTTTCAAAAGTGCTTAAGTCACTTAGAAATAGAGCTGAATGGGAAGCTGTTTTGCAGCCCACATAAAAAGTTCAAGATTTCAAAAAATGTTCTCATTCTGCATCAGATCAAATGGATATCTTCCAAAAAGATTTATGAAAAGTGAGAGAGAATTTAATATATTCAACAGCCACTCAGTGTAATATGGAAGACTCAAGCTCAAGTCCCTGCTCTGACTCATAATTAATCAATGAGTTAAGAGTATGCCATAAAAAATTCCGAATATAAAGAAAAATGTCAAATTAAACCCCTCAACATAATATTTGTAGACTGGAGACTTTTTTTAAAATAGGCAACTATGAAAGTTAGGTGAATTTTGAGTTAAACCCAAAAGTACATACTGAACACTCCCAATTAACTAAGCTGTAGAGGATACATCAGTAAAGTTTTAAGTAACATTTCAATAAAATATTAAACATATGAAAAGAGGTGCAGGATACTAATTGCCAATGGTTTCATGAGTTTTGCTATCTCTAATGATCATGTTATTTCTCCAAGTTTGCTCTATCAAGCTTAGATAGCCCAAAGCAAAATTTAAGAAATAAGCTAGCACTGATCACAAAATATTAATTCATTTTTGTTATTCAATGTATGGAAAAGACAAGTATCAATCATGTTTATACCTGCAAGTGTCATTAATACAAAAAGACTTATTAAAAAAAAAGTGTAAATTAGTTCTGTGCCAAATGCCTCTCCAGCCTAGTAAGCAAGGACAACCTGTATTTATTTCACAACTGAGTTATTTTCTGATCCTAGATACAAATAAATTAATGCATAATCTGTCAAAAATAAGGTTCTCGCCTTCTTTATGAAGTAGCTTCCTGAAATATTAACAAAGTTTTGCCTATAGTGTGAGGTGATCTGGATTATAAAACACTTACTCTTGGATAAGGGAGACCACTAGTAGTGTTAAAAGCAGGTAGAAGTTTGTAGCCCAGTTGTTTTGCCATGTGCAGAAGTTCACCACTGTACCACTGCATGTATTCACCTTTCTCTTTCAGCATAATTGCCACAGAGTGCCCACCTAATAGACCTCTAAACACAAGAAAATATGACCACGTGTATTTCACATCATTAAGTCACAGCAATGCAATAAGTTATATTATTTGTGACAAGCACTATATAAACAATTGTGGTGAGTATTTCAGAAGTGCTAAGAACACACAATTCTAATTTGAGTCATTGGAAGCTGTGGTGTACCTTTGGCAGAAAAAAAAAAGTCAAGCATTTAATGGGTAGGGTGATTTTTTTTAACTTGTAGATTACAGACATAAAAAGAGTGTTGATAAGATTAACAATAAATTCTTCCTTACACCATTTCACTAGGGTAGCCAGGTATCCGGTAAAACCACCTCCTATCCGGTAAAACAATTCAGAAAATACCAGACACCTAAAATGACCAGTATTTTCTGATTTTTTCCTGGGCAGGAGGCAAAAATACCAGGTGCTTACCTGGTTCTGCAGGGGAGCAGTCTGGCCAGAAGCAGGAAGACAAGATGGCGGACAGCTGCCAGCAGCTTGTTAGGGCCACAAAGCCTCAAAAGCATTTCTTAAAGGGGCCATGCTGGGGTTTTTTTGGCTTAACTCTCGGGGTCTATTTTCTTTTCCCTCCTCAACAACTTTGGGCTCCCTCTTTCCCCTCCCCCCCAAACAATTTTTTCCCTTTTTTGGGGGGGGGGGGGGTTAGCATTTTTGGTTAAACCATCTGGCAACCCTACATTTTACAGAACATACTGAAGAAGTAGATTATTGAAGAGAACTAGATGACTAACCCTGCACATGGATAAGGCAGAAGTCACTATCTTATAGGTTATCGTGAGCCTAATGAAATGATGTGTACATAAGCCCCAAGTAATCAAATCTTGATTGTCAATTAATTTTATGTGAAAACCTTTTGGAAATGTAGTTAAGTCATTTGAGTTCAGAGGGGCATATTGTTTAGTATCTATAAACAAGGTTGAGGGAACCTGTGAGCAACAAAATGATTCTTTTAAACAAACAGATGCATTGTCTGTGTTCTTAATTCAAGAATGATTATCACATTTCAGAATTATCCCTTAGCCACAGACTTAATATGTTTTGCACTATTTATTACGCAAAAACATAAATAACTAAAACCCACGTGATTGCATAAATTGTACTTTATGAACTAGAGAAATCTGATATAGTGTATATCAAATGTTTGACAACATAATCTTAGCTTTGAGGCTATATTTATGCAAGGAAAATAAGTTTTGAGACACAGGTTGTCGGCCACTATTGAAAAAAAGCTCTTCTGCTGGTATGGACAACTTCATCTGATGGCTATTATCAGTTCCTTCCTAAACATTCAAAAGCTTTGCTATAACAGAAGTTAAATCTGGTGATCCAATAGAACCACCATTCTCAGTATCAGCTGAAGTAGAAATGAAAGCTATGTTTGACAGGACAAAAATTTGAGATCACATCTTAAGTGGAAAATGAAGAAAGCTAGTTACTTACCCAAGGACTCTTATGTTAGTTTCAAATACTGATACAACTATGTCATTATCTAAATTAACATCTTTTATCACATTTTTTACAGCATCTTCAAACTCTTTGGTTTTATTTAACACCTAGAAAAAAAAAATGAACAACTTAAGTTATGTTAGGTTCTGATACTGTGAAAGTGATCAACTTCAAAAAGTGCTAGTAGAGTCATCCAAGTATGATATAAAGTTCAACAAGTTTAAAACAGGACATAAAGATGGCTCAAATTGCTTTCCTGCTTGACCATATTGTAGTCTGATATATTACGTGAATAGCTGTCAATGTTTTTTGCTAGTGACGTATCTGAATGACAAAGAAGTCTTTAACAGAAAATAGTTCATTGAAAATATGTCTGATGGTTACTCACTTTTATTACTTTCTTTCACAACACTGCATTGTAAGTCAGTGTTTTCCTATGAAAGATGGCAGTACCACCATTCTTATTTTCTACCACCTGCATTCTACATTGTGTGAAATCTGGAACTGAACTCCACAGTTCAAATTCATCCCTGCTATTATAGCTGAAAATAAGATAAGTGATTTATGGCCAAATGCACATAAGAATAAGAATGTTCCTAATATTCCCAACCACTTGATTTCTCTGGTCAATCACAGACAAACATCTCCTAGGACTTAAGTCGCAGCAAACGAAATCCTAAATGTTGCCTAAGAAAATAAGAACAGCCATACTGTATCTGACTAGTCAGATCCCAACAGTGTCAGGCCAGGGAGGTCCAACCTGTACTGCGATTGGCAGAATTTACACAGAATGAATGTTCTGTGCAGAATTTCTTTTTTCCCTGCAGTATTGGAATTACAGAGCTGCAGGTGGCCGCTGGTCCTGGTAGAGTCCAGTTCCCCAGCTTGTGACTGGACACTGCTGAATGGAGAGGCAGGTCTCTGAACCGTGGGGTGGCTCTCTCATGGCTGGCCTCTGGTGGTGTGGGTGTCAGGGCTGGGCTGTGTCCCTAAAGCTAAGCTGTGGGAGAGGGGTGTGGAGGTCTAGGCCAGGAGGTGCCCTGCATCTTGTTTTTGGGTGGGAGGTCATGTGGATGCTTGGGTTAGAGGTCTCTGAGGGGGAGAAGCACCTTCTGTCTGAGCTTGGCGGGCACCTAGGTGAGAGGTAGAGAAACATAAGAGTAAACAGGTAATCTTTTTTGTTGTCTGTATTGTTGCTGGCATAGTTACTAGATATTTTGAAAGGAATTACCAAAATAACTGAAACTGGCATGATTATATATTTTATTTGACAAAATAACACTAAACAGAATTTTGCAGAACTTTAAAATATTGTGAACAGAATTTTTAATTTTTGATGCAGTCAACAGATTAACATGAGCCTGGCCTACCCACATCACTCAGGGGTGCGAAATACCTACCCCACATCCACAAACAATGAGTTAAGTGGACTGTATCATTTTTGTAAAGAGCACCTGGCATGGACATGGAGTACCTATAGAAGATAGACTGATAGAAGAACATTTCCCATCAATCTGCACAGGGAGAGTCTGCACTGAAGCAGTGCAGCTGTGCCGCTGCAGCATTTTAAGTATGGATAAGCCCTTACAATTACATTAATAGGGGAAGAAAATGTAGATTATTTTTTTAAAGTTATAACATGTAATAAGAACAAAATAGGCATTCATTTCATTTGGATGAACTACAAGGCTAAGGAACTGATTTAGTATGTTTTTTAAAACAATCTATTCCAAGGGTTCCATTGTTTTCAGGCCTTTACAACAGAATATAGACGATTTTTGATGGAATAAGACTTTACTGGGTTTCCTTACCTAACTTCACATTTCTTTCAAAAGAACAGAATTCTAGATAAATATAGTTACAGTATTCATAGATGCAACATTGCAAAACAGATCAAACGTACCACAAGAGTGTCCAAGGTATCAATCAGTGTCAGTGAAAACCTATGAAATAAAATTTAAACCAGATGTATAATTAAAATTCTGTATATGTTTTTGGTAGAGATTATATTATTTTTAACCCAAAAATCTTAGCAATAATGAGATGCAATCAGATTGCCTGTTGATTAAAAAAATGCTAGCTTTTAATTATGAAGAAGTGTAAATGCTCACAACAATTAAATCCATTATTTTTTGAAGAGACATTTGCGACTCGACTGACCAGAATGGGAGCAACGTAATAGTTTACACTTATGATAGGAGTTGTTTTCACTCGCCCCCCCTCCCCCCGCAGCAACCTTTGAAAACTTTGACATTTAAAATGTTGTGTATTAAACTAGCATAGTGGCCAACAGTCCATTGCTCTGAAGAGCTTATCATGAACCCATATACACCTTTTTCACCCAATGAATTCACAGGTGGCCTTAGATGTGCACTGATGCATCAGCAATTTCTCTTTAAAAATGTGCTATGTAAAATTATTCTAAACTGTTATACCATTTGATGAGGACTGGTCAATTTTTTTTTCTTGACAAAGGCATAACTAACCCATCAGTTAACCTCATTGCAGGAGAGGGAAAAGCGGTTATAGAAATTACTATACACTGTTTTGTTCCCACCCACATTCTCATTTACAGTTTTACACAATTCTGCATTTTTGTTCAACTAGAAACTCAAACAAGCTTTTTGAGTGTGCATCAAGTAAAGTATTAGTAGCAAAATGTGTTAATATTTGCATGTTCATATGAGATGATCACTGCTTCAAATACTAACTTTCCCAAGGCATCATCTACATCCCCACGACTTGGTTCCTGACCCCGAACCCGTCCACGGCAAGTTAAAGGCATGAGCTCATCAGCTGGGTAGGCATGTTCCTGTAAGAACAAAACCAAAAGATAAAGGAGAGTACAATTCAGTTTAATTAGCAGAATTGTAGTAAACTTATGAAAATCTAGGTATCTTCTATCAGGATAAATTCAAAATAACACAGCAGCAGCTTCCTCTTCATGGTTAGTGGCTGACAACTGTTAGACCACATAAATATGCCTGCCTGCTAGTACTTTAGTGCAATGCCCCTATCCCCTGTCCCAGAGTAACAAGCGTTTGAGTACTTAATGGCATCTCTGAAATAAATGCTCAACTCAAACACTTGAGGTACATCCTGTGTTTCCTGCAACACAAAGCACAGGAGATTTCATTTCTGAGGTGGATAAGATCTATGCTTTGAATGGAATAGTCTCTCCTCTCCCTCCCTCCCCCCATTAAAGAGAAGATCTACCATCCAACATTAATGGGGGGGCGGGGGGAGAAGAGTGAAAATTAGCCTAATTTTATAGAACAGGGACAAGGAAGATTAAAGGTTAAGGATAACATTTTTTTAAAGTACTTACATTACTTAGGAACCTAAATTTCACTGAAAAAAAATCGAAGGGATAAAGACTAAGACACTTCTAAAAACTGGACCTAGATTCTTTGAAAATTTTACCCTATGTAATTTGTTCAAAGTCACAGAATCCGTGAAAATGAGAAAAGAACTAAGTCAGAACACAAAACAAAAAATACAACCAAATGACTAAGCATGCAACACAAAGGAAAACAATTGACTATATAGACAAGAGGAAAGACTGAGACCATGACAAGTTTGGAGTAGTTTTTGAAAATGATAGCCATTTTCAAGAAATTTACCCTATGTAATTTGTTCAAAGTCACAGAATCCGTGAAAATGAGAAAAGAACTAAGTCAGAACACAAAACAAAAAATACAACCAAATGACTAAGCATGCAACACAAAGGAAAACAATTGACTATATAGACAAGAGGAAAGACTGAGACCATGACAAGTTTGGAGTAGTTTTTGAAAATGATAGCCATTTTCAAGAAATAAGGGA